AGGCGTTCCTTTAGGAAAAGACTTATTGCGCCATCTCAATATACGCGTGCTAAAGCGAACGTTCTACGTACCGACGCACGCATCGAGTTCCTGTCGTTTAAAACCGGGCGAGCCGGAGATTTCTGTTTTTTTTAGAAACCCGACGCACGTGGGAAAATACTTGTAATCGATAATGTCAATAATCTAAAATTAGAACGCTCTCGAAAAACGCGTGGGTTCTGACGCCGGAAATAAAAAGAGACAAATCAATACTCGTCAGTGATTGCACGAGAACATTGATAACCAAATAAATGATAGCGGAGTAGTTGAAAAAAAGAAAAAAACACACACACAATTGCGGTATTGTGGGGTAGAAATTCCCACAAACATGACGTCAAGTCCGTACTATCTTGTGAAGCTTATCGCGACATATTCGCAGCCTTTTTTTTGCTCTGAGGTCATCGATTCTATAAACAGGCGGAAACAGAACGACGACAGCGGTCAGGCATCGAGATAGTTGATATTCCGCAGCTCACTTGCGAAAGGAGGAGGAGGGGAAATGCGTTGAATGATGGTGTCGGTCAGCGTTATCCAGAGTTCAGAGGGCGCGCTAATTGATAAGGAATAATTTCAAGGACGTTCTACTGTTTGCTTTGGACGACACGGCGCTCCCGCTTCGACGTAGTTGTAACTGGTCTCACGAACGAACGAACGAACGAGAAAACGGACGAACGGTTGCCTTGTGGATCCATGACGCGTATTATCTCGCTCGCCTGTATCATTTCGCTGAACGATTCGACTTCTGGTCCAGTTGCTCCCTTCGCTATCGAGGGAAGCGCGCTCGACGGGTCAGGAATTTCCCCGGCGCATTAAAAACCTGCTTTCGTATCTCGCTCGGAGAATACCATCTAGCTGCATCATCGAACAGCTGATACGGCCTAAAACTGAATCTACGTCGCCTGCTATCGTGCGTGAGTTCACACAATGCCGTCAACGTTACCGACGCGTTCTTCCTCTCGCGCCGGAATCGAAGATGAACCGTTCCTACCGAAAGTCGAACGAAACGTCGTCTCTAATTAAATCTCCAAGTTTAACTCGAAATTTTACCTTCGATCATTTGACGCTCGAGACCGATCTATCGGTCGAAAATGAAATGTGCTTAAGTACTTTTTTTTTTTTCTTTCCTGTTCGCATCGATATCTCCATACGATTTAAAAAGCGATGTCCGGTTGGTCGAACTTATTCCCGTTTCCGCTAACGTTGATGAAACCTTAACCGTTAAGTTTAAAGTCCGTAATTATTAATCGTTGTTTGAAATTTACGTAATTATATGTTATATGACACATTACGTTTGTAATAACGATTCAACTGAAAAATCGTGTCTAACTCGAAATTGAAATCTGAATATCTCATTTGAGATGAGTTTCAAGCAATAATAGTTGATACGGGGCTGATAGCGAATTCGATCATCCTGATTGGTACTGTATCGGATCGGTGCGTGCTGAAGATTGCTATAGACAAAGCAGTTATTTAAATAAAGAAGCATATAAACATTTGGAAATAATCAAACACCAAATAATGATGCTGCCACGCTATATTTAGCAGAATATACATGAGTCCTTTCGTCGTCAAAGTGTTTGCATTAGTCTACTGTATTCGGATAATTTAGGTATAGCGATCTTCAATGTGCACTAATTCAGTGGTCGAATTCGCCGTAAGTCTTTGTCTAAGGATGGCTTAAGCTCAGGTTAAGGTTTCGTCGACGTTGGTACGAGAACGGGCATTGTTCAAACTCGGACTTAACGCCGGTGCAGCCGAGCACGATGATCGCGTGGGCGCTCACAAAAGAAAGGAACCACCGGCCTGACCGCGTTTCCGGGAAAGAAAAGCGATCTCACGCCAGGCCGGGAGAAAAGCACGAGCTGCACGAGCCTCTCTCCAGCAGTGTACGCGCAGTCGCCAGTCCGGGTCGGGCAAATTAGCCGGTTTCCGGTACTCGTGTGGAGAGTACCTCTCTTTTCCCAGTGTCTCCGTCGCGCCTTCTCACTCCGCCGGTTATGGAAAAATTACGGTCGCGATGATGAAGCGTGCGGCCGACCGATTGTGACATTACACGGTGCCCAGCGTGATACATATACATACCTACATATTTATATATATATATACACACACGCACACACACATGATTTATACGAGCCGCGATCAGACGTCGACGACGCGGAGTGGCTCCGTCCATCCGAGTGTCCGGTATCAGTGACGGGTACGTACGGCCGATACTGTTCTACCTCTCCTCTTCCCGTGATCCCCACGACGTCACGTGGGGAACGACGAGTAAAAGAACCCGCTGCTAGTCCCGGTAGGGGAATGGGTTCATCGGCAACCGGCGGCAGGCAGGGGGAGGGAAGGGAGGCCTCAGCCTACCACGATAACGCAGGCCAGTCCGTCTAATTATTCGTGTTTACTCGCAGAGGGAGAGAAGAGCGAACGGGAACGGGACGTTCGTAGCTACGAGGTGCAGTTCGTGGACGACGGTAGGAGCGAGGAAAGGATGGCCGGTCGTAGTCGAGACGGCGGGCTGGTCAGGAAACTCACCGTCTGCCTCGTCTATCTTCTGACCCTCCTCGGTGAGTTATCCGCCAGTTATGTTGGAGCCCCTGCTTTGCTGTCTCTCTCTCTCTCGTTCTCTCTCTGTCTCTCTTCTTCTCTTATTCTCTCTTGTTGTCGTCATCATCGCCCATCCATCTCTTCTTCTTCTGTCTCGCTGCACCGTCCCCCTTCCAGCCTCTCTGCTCAGCCGTTGGTTTCCACTTGTTCCTCACGGAGGTCACGTTAGCCGACCGACCCGAGAGTCATTCATACGAGCCGACTGTAATGTGACGATCCCATTGAAGGAGCGCGCGCCGCTTCGTTGAACCGCTCGTCGTGATTCGGAGCATAGCCGGCTGATTGAGCTCGCTTAATAGTCGCTTCGTTTTTGATTGAAATCGAAGGTCGTAATAATCAGACGCGGCTGGGTGAAGTGTCCGACGATGACGAGGATGACAACGACCGTACGAGAAGGAAAGAAAGAAAGAGAGAGAGAGAAAGGGGAGGGGACGAGTTGCACACGACGTGCGAAACGTACATGTTACATGCACTGTTAAGTACGCCGCTTCGACACGGTGAAGAGAAGCGCGTCTTTCACGCAATCGCCGAGGATTAAAAACAGGCACGTGGAGGCGCACGTGGCCGTGCGCGAGAATACGACTCCGTCGCGTCTCGACGGATCTTGTAACGTCGTGTTTGTACCGAGTAATGGCTTGATATCGAGACTAGGGCCGGTTAATAATATTAATTTCCAACGGCCGGAGGGACCTGATTTTCTAATTAGTTTCGAACAGTGTGTATATTCAATCGTTGGCGCGGATGTTTATATTATTGTTACTTACGCGAGTATTCATGAGGGCGCAATCGAAATTGGAGCGAAATTGGAGCGTTTAAATATAGCCTTCGTATCTCGTTTTAGGGCGCTGCGTTCGCAATTTTATCGGGCTGATTCGCAACTGTCAATTACGGCAAACGATTAAGTTGTTACCGACACGGTGTTGCGAACCGGCAATGCGCAGCAAACAGACATGTACATTCCCAGTAAGCAAGAAATCATTAACACAATGTTATTACAATGACACTTTGTAACGTTCTCGAATATGTAGTTCTTGCATACCCCCCTTAACATCATTGTTAACAACATACATTTGACCCAAACAGTAAAAACAATATTTCTACACTGTCGTTCTTCAATATTAAAAAATATTATATCATCAAATAACAATTTAAAAATGTTTATAAAATATTATGTCAAACTGTTTGTAGAATCCACGCAAAATCAATGTTTTCAAAAGATTTATTTACCGTTTCTTGTTTACCGGGTTAATTGTTTCCCGACAAGTCGTAAACTGCACGCAGATTCATAACCTAGCACTGCTTACGCACGGTCGACTTAAGACCAATCACGGCTGCATCTTTCTTCGTTTCGCTCTATCGCAGCGAGCAATTCAAACGTGACACTCGAGCCGGTGGCTGGCCGAGAATTCCTTTGTTTTGTCGCCGCTGCTTTGAATATTTCGTAGTTGCGCACGTAATTTCGCGGCTGTCTAATATCGCGCGCGACGTTTATCTCGCACTTACGCGGAACGCGATCGCGTTTGCGCGCGCATGCCGCGGCATGTTCTGCGCAACGCGCGGGAATTTCGCCACGTGTTGAATACGATTTTCGCATAAATGCGAGTTAATCGTCAAAAAAGATTGCTCGTAAGCACGCCATATCTCGCGGACAAACCGCTCGGCGTTCTCTCATGATATACCGTCCATAATTGAGACAAGTATGCGTTAAATGTGCGTCTTTCTGAATTTCAGATTCCTACTGTCAAATGGCGCCAGGTAATTATCCGTCGGAGCTCCACGTGCTATCAAACTTCCACGAAGGAAAGTATCGTGATGATTATACTTAATCTTATCGCGTACGCATGTATGTATAATCAGATGATCAAAGGTCGCGACACGACCTTTTCGTAGAAAAATGAAAGATACGTCTCCTATTGGGTACGGGATACACTGCGAAACTTGCCGGGATAAAGCGTCGCAACTCTTTTAATCGTCTGTGTATACAAAAAATTATACGTAAATAACAATGAAGTTGTTATAAGTTCATAAGTTTCGGAACGCATCCGTGTCCAGTAGGAGAATTTCTTCCCTTAGTCATTCTCGGGAGATACGTTTTTTTTTTTATTGGAAACACGAAGTGCGTTGCGAAATTCATCGGAGAGAAAGAAACCTGTTGCAACTTTTCTGCGACTAACCGCACACACACGCAAACCCGAGGACAAAAGAGGAGGAATCCGAAAACTGACTGAAAAGAATCAAATTACGTAACATACCGAATCGACTGGTCACATTGAGCCGGCTAAGAGAAGGAAAAAAAGAATCCCATTCTCGTCATGGACCCTCACGCTCCGTCGTGTAACAGGGACTCCACGTGAGTTAACGGTATTTCGTCGCGGCGCGTAACACGCGCTCACACATACACACACGCATCCGGTGTTCCTCCTGCGTTTGAGTCCCCGTCTCGGGTCCGTCGTCGTCCTCCCCAGCGGGAGAGGAGCGATCTTGTGCGCGTGGAGAGCGCGCTTGTCAGTCGACGCGCGACTCGCGATCGGTTACGTCGTCGTCGTCGTTGCCGAACATTCGCACGTAGTAAATGCGATTGTCGCTCGTACTCGCAATATCCTCGTAATATTCGCCGCCGGTGTACATAGTCGCAAGACGATTTCTTCCTCCATGACGATGACCAACGCACACTGGACATTATGCGTGATGTTTGCAGCGGTGGCCAGTGCCATCAGAGGCTGGGAGGTAGGAAGCGGGCACAGGTACAGACTGACGACGACACTTCTCTTCAGGGAAGCGGTACCGCCGAAATCCGGAGGCGACGTCGGCTTCAGATTGACCAGCGAGCTGGACGTCACCGCTGTGTGGCGGGATCCCGGCGACCCCGATCTCTTCCTGCTTAAATTCAAGGTATGACTTCTCGAGATTCGGCGTTGTCAGCTTCGATCGGGACGTTCTGAATAGTCTGTGTCTTTTAATAAGGGGGATTCCGCACCGGTTTCATCGGCCGGTTTCATCGTCGTGGTTCGAGTCACCCCTCGGTTTATTCTGGACAGTACAAATATTTTATACTTGCATTAAGATGGATTCTTGTTAACATTTTCGTGTTAAGTTTTCAACGTACTCGTTAATTTAACATATCAATTTCATTGAAGGATACAGCTCCGATGGGAGGCCTTGGCCTTTGTATGTGTTGTTGAAGATGAAATCTGTCGGGAGTTACTCAGAATCATGTCCTTGACGACATATGTGAAGATCAAGGTAATCGGAAATGTGTTCCTGTTGACCTAAATAAATAATATCTAAAATATATTAGTTTAGCTCAAGGTTAAAACTAACGTTGAACGTACTGTTTGCGTATGTTCTGATTGTTTTATTTGAAAACGGTAACTTTTACTTGAGAAGGATATAAGATGAAATGAGTTTGATAAAAATTCAATCAAACTTTTGCGCTACGGGCTGGAATATTATTTAACTGCTCGCGAAATTAGAAAAATATCGATCATTCAAGAGCTGAAATATTTACAATCGAAGTAATTCTGCTCGATGAATATTAAATTGAGTTGCCTCCTTGATGCGTCACTGAAAAAAATGCGACACCGAGCCTCACAACCTTCTCAAATATATTTTCTGCTATAAAAAACTGTCTACGCTAAAAATAGAAAAGCTGAACTATAGACAAAATACCGAAAATATTATTGAGCAAGCGCATTGATATGGAGAGGCAGGTCGTGCTGGATCCGCATGACGATGATAACCCCGTATCCGAGAGCGATAAAAAATCTCGGGTTACGTATCCTTCGGAGGAAGGAGACTCTCAAATGGAGAGCCCGGCTAACTCACAAACTACGCGTTAATTTTGATATAATAAAAAAACAATCAAAATAAAATGATGATAACCTTGTATCCGGTGGCGGTAGAAAGTCTCTCGAATTGCGTGTCTTTCGGAGAAAGAAACTCTTGAGTAAAGCCAGTTGATAAACTAATAATTAACGATCTTCGTGTCAGTTAATATTATTTCGATATATTAAAGAAAATAAGATGTAATGATGATAATACCTTATTTAAAAGCGATAAAAATCTCGGGTTACGCATCCTTTGGAAAAGGGAGATTCGAATGGATCTTATTAGTAAACTATTTATTTTTGCCAGCAATTAGTATTTTATTAGTAAAATATTTAAAGAACTTTGCGTTGACTAGTATTATTTCGATATATTAAAAAAAAGGGGTCAACATATAGCGATAATAACTCTTTGTTTAAATTGTGTTGTAGCAACCCGTTGTCTAAGAGCGATAAAAAATCTCTCGGGTTGCGCACCCTTCGGAAAAAGGAGACTCCGACAGATCCTGTTAATAAATTCATATTTAATGAACCTCGCGTTAACCGGTTTTGCCTCGAGACATTGGAAGAAAAAACCGACCTATGTTAATTAGTGTCATGCGTTAAAAACGAAAAAAAAAAAATGAGAACCGGACAATTTTAACACGCTGGCTAATAGATACACACGTGTGTGACAAGCGCGAACGTTCTTGCAGCTGTCGTCGCCGCAGCTGTGGATCAAATCCCGCCGTGCACCGGAGCCGGAGGGCTTCGTCGAGCACTCCTCCAAGGTGGGCGAGACCGCCGAGAAGCCGTTCCTCGTGCTCTGGCGATACGGCGATATCCAAGTCGTGTTCATGGACGTGGCCGAGAGCGTGTCGTCCATGAACCTGAAACGCGGCCTGGTCAGTCTCTTCCAGTACCGCACGTTGGACGACGAGTACGTCCGTCAGCGGGACGCGTCCGGCCTCTGCAACGTGACATACGTGTCCTTGAGACCGCAGACTATCTATAAGCAGAAGACCGATTGCGTGCAGAGCAGCTTGCCGCGGCGCAAGCTCAACCCGAACCCGGTGTTCAACGTGAACCTCGTGAGCACTCGCAACGCCACATACGTGTTGACGCACTCGCTGTTGCCGGAGCACGTGGTCGACCACGAGACACACAGAATGGCCTTGACGTCCAAGTCGGACGTCGGCACGACCGTGCTGTCGGAGAGGACGCTGGAGCAGCTGCCGCAGCCGCTGAAGGAGAACGTGATCCAAGCGGACACCGTGAGACAGGTCACAACGCACCTTCGCCCCCTCGGGTACCGGCAGACGGACATCGAACTCCAACTGGAACCTACCACGTGTCCCGACGCCGGCTGTCCGACGGTAAACATCCTGCGGCATTTTTGTCCTACTATTTGTCATGCTATTTGTGTTATCGCACGGTAGATAGAAAAAACGCTCGAGCATATTTCCTTATCGTTCGGACTAAAATATTATACAGGCGCAACAAATATTTGAACATTTTCAACAGATTTGAAACTTTCAACGTGCAGGCTTCACGCATATAGATTAGTGTTTTTATTTAATATATTAATTTCCACTGATTTTTCTCTTTCTCTCTCTCTCTCTCTCTCTCTATATATATATTTCTTTTTATATATACAGAATGGGGCATTTAAATTGAGACACCTTGATATAACAAAATTAAAGCAAAATAGAAAGAAACGTTTCGGGCAAAAATTGTAGGATTTGGAGGAGGGCACATTTCGGTGATCTTAATTTCGTTGCGTTGCCAGTAATTCAAGGTTATTTCAAGGTCAGCTTCATTTTTTGTGGAATTATATATAGTTTCTTTTTTAACACAAATCGATTTCTCTGTTAATTCTGCGTATAAAAATATTAGAAAAAATTTTCACGCTTTCCCGGACACTTTCATTTTCACGAAGACCCTCATTTGATTTGAACAAACATCTCATGAGAGGGTTTCCTGCGTTGGTATTTTCAACCAAAATTCTCGCTCCCTCAAGAGATGCATCCTCCATTGACTTGAACAAATAAACACGAAATTACAGATCGACAAAACGATCGAGAAACACCACGAAGCGCTGACTGTGAACGCGCTCGGCACGGCGAGGTCAGCGTCGGCCTTTCTCAAGCTCCTACCTCTAGTCAAGAACGCCTCGCCCGAGGAGCTGCACAAAATCCTGAAGACGCCGCGTTACCGGCAAACTCGTATGCAACTGTTGGACATTTACGGTTCCGCCTCGACGTTGGCCGCCCACAAGGCGGCCATGAAGATCCTGCGACAGGACGAGACGGGCGACGAGACCGAGAGGTACCTCTGGGCCCTGTCTCTGTCGCCGACGCCGCACATCGACGTCGCCACCGACGTGCTGAAGCGCTCCGAGGAGACGATGCAGAACGACCACGTGTCCGAGACGTACGCGCTCGCGGCTGGCGCGATGATGCGCCACCACGGCTCGCCCTCGGCGATCGAGAAGGCCAGGGTCAGCCTGGAGCTCGGTCTGAGCGTGTGCACCGGCGACGAGTGCAGGCTTAAGTTCCTGCGAGCGCTGCGCAACCTCAAGAGTCCGAGCGCGGTTCCCACGTTACTGGAATACGCGCTCAGCGACAATCGCGCGATCAGCGTCGCCGCTTGGCGCGCTTTGGCGGCGCTGCCCGGACACAGCGTGAGCGACGAGTTGAAGAACGCCGCCGTGAGGGTGTTCTATCAGATCGGGGGGCCGCGGAGGGACAGTAGCGCGCGAACGCTCGCGTTGGACATCATCCTGGAGAACGAACCCTCCGAAGAAATCCTACGCGACCTCGTGGATTACTTAGGCGGGAAGGACCCGGCGTACGAGGTCCGCAAGTATCTGAGTCAACGGTTGGAGCAAATCGGCGAGAAGAACGAGCGGTTCGCCGGCTACCTGAGGCACGCGTACGGTGATGTGAGAGCGAATAATTATCACACGCGAGCGCAGAGAGGCCTCAGCACCGCCTTCAGCAGGAGCTTCCTGCGCTCGCCCGACAGCAACGGCTCCCTGTTGACCGTGCAGGAGGTGAATTCCGGGCTGTTGAAGCGCGGTATCGTGGACGTCGTGCTGGAGACGAACGAGCGGCAGCAGCGGGCGATGTTCTCGTTGGGCCTCTTCGCCGGTGGCCTCGGCAGTTTCGTCTCCAGCCAAGAAGAGGGAGCCGAAGCGGACGACGAGATGGCCACCGCCGGGATGGAGATAGACATACTGGGTGTCGGTGTGCGCCCGTTCGTCTTCTTCTCGGGTCAGGGCGAGCTGATGGGCCACGTGTGGTCGGGGACCGCGTCCGAGAGGACCCCGGCCTTTCAAGTTCTCAGCTCGCTGTACAGCTACAGCGAGCACGTGCCATTAGGGAGCGGCTTCGTCGCCGAGGTCGACGTGGAGGGCGCCGTGAGCTTCGACTTGGCCGGCCAGATCCAGCTGAGTCTGTGGTCGCGGAACGCGCACTCCCTCGTGGAGATGGACGCCGCGGTGATGATCCACGGCGGCAGCAAGGTGCGCACCGGCTTCGTCCAGAGCAAGGCGGAGTTCTCGATGACGATGGAGCCGAAGCTCGAGCTGTCCACCAAAGTGGACTTCTCCGGGCAGGTGGCTCTGTGCATGCGGCTCAGCCAGCTGGCGACCACCGTCAAGCACCAGGTGTACAAAATCGAGCGGATACCCGGCAGCCGGCACCGGCTGAGGAAAACGCGCCGATCGAAGAGCCATTCGCCCGGCAGATCTTATTTGCTCAACCGGAAGAACAACGAGATGTGCGCGAAGGCGTTCAATTGATGACGCGGAACCGTGCGCGGAAGGTGTGTCCGGTGAGACGACTCTTCCCGCCGATGGGGGCGGTGTGACCTTGACCGAGACTCTTAGCATTCCCCTTTTTTTCCATTACGCGCGCATCACCGCGGACTGGAGAGCGCAAGGACGAGCATGTGTACGGCAGCGTTGTGTTGGTGTTTATATAGATGTATAAAACGATATCTAACGATACACTTGGGTATCGCAGCAGCGGGCCGCGCTCGAGTACGTTCCATTGGTCGGCGAGATGAAGTGCGAGGAGAACGCTATATTCCGGGAATAAATGATCATCCGACTAGTTTTGGAAGCGGAAGTCTCGCCGTATCGTAAAGTGCAACTGAGAAACTTCGTCTTCAATCTTTGCCCGAACGCGGCGCGGCAACACCACCGGCCACGATAGATTTAGAAAGGGAATCTTTTAACGGATTCGGTAAATTCGCATCCTGCCGTCGTTCTCGCCGATTTTCTCCCCACGATCTCCGGACGATAGCGATTTTTCACTTTGATCACGACGAACAACGGCAAACGTTCCGCGGGAGCTTGAGATTATTTATTCGTTAATAATTCGCGTTTCTCGACCGGAGGACGCGAAGTGTGTTCCATCCTCCGTCGCGATCCGTTGTATCGATGCCCAGGTGTATCTCTATGTTCTATTTTACATCTAACGTGCGTTTTTCTTACACTTCCACGCGCGGTCACGACGCCAACGTCACGATCCCGGTCACGGCAAGTGAGCGCGCGTCCTTTCCCACTTCAACGACAACCGCACTCGACGACGACCATGTCCTCGTAGTCGTACTCGTAAGTCACCGCGTCCCTGTTGTCCAGATAGAGCAAGCTCGTGGGCTCCAGTCTGGTCGGTACGCAGCAGGCTCTGCTGACGACCTTGTTCGCGTCCGAGTCACCGTTGGCTTGAAGGTTCTGAAGGGCCCCGTGCATCAGTGTCTGCACGATCGCGTGCTTGGTAGGGTTGAGATGATCGGCGAACGGGAGGAAACACTTGCCGGTGCACTGGTAAGCCTCGTAGCCAGGCGGTGCGATGACCCAGCGATCGTAGGAGATCAGGGCGAAGTCGACGTACAGCGGACGCCGGCGGCAAACGTCCCGACGTCGTCTCCGGGCGACGCTGCCCTTCGCCCGTCGCTCGTCCTCCTGATCCCGCTCCTGGTCCATCCGCACGGATCGCCGCTGGCGACGGGCTCGGTCGGTCTTGCTGTAGTTCAACAGGAGAATCGGCCCGTCGCCGTACGGACGGTAGGTCAACGTGCCGTGCACGTAGAGCTTGACGGTGTCGTCGCTCCTGCCGACGACGGCGGGGGTGACGTTAAAGGCGCGCCAGGAGTCGTCCTTCCGCGACCTCAGGATCCCCGAAACGTTCCTCGCCGTGGCGTCTCGGAACGATCGCACTCGGACTATCGCGCCGGCGATCCCCAGCAACTCCGCGGTCTCGAGACTTTGGCCGGCGTTCACCGACGGGATCGCGAACTCCAGGATCCTGCCGCCGTCGCTGAGCGGGCCGGAGATGTGCACCGGCCGAATCGCCCGGACGATGTCGGTCTCCGGGCGTCGATGGTAGAGCTGCAGCATGTACTTCGACAGGGTGTTACGGCGTTGTCGGCGGCGCGCCGAGTCGAAGAAGGGTCGACGCGGCGCCGCCGACGACGGGATCGACAGGTCGAAGTGGATCAACGCCTTGGCGTGCATGCTGGAGCTCCAGCGGCTGATCGAGCCGGTCTTCCAGAAGTGAAACGCGCAGAGCACGACCGTGGCCAACAGTAACCAGCAGCCCGAGCTTCGCATAGTTGAACCCGCGGATTTATCCTCTGCCTCCGATTCGAAATTCCCGGAGCACACGATCGCTTCCTCCGATGTTCACACACTAGTATATTCGATGTTATTTCATAATAATGATGAAACTCGTTGCGATGATTCGGGAGAAACTTGCCATTATATCAGTGAAACGAGGTCTCCCCGCGAGGTAAAATCGCGAGCGAATTGTTTCCGCGTAGACGTGCTTCGCACGATCGAATCGCCTCGGCTTTTCGAGCACGGACTCGGAGGCATATTCCCGGATCGGATCGAACGTCGCCGATGCCGCTCCACGTCGGACTGCAAATTCGAAGGTGAGTGCTCCGCTTGAGAGAGACCGCTCTCCAAATAGCCGCCAATGGAGGCTTTCGAACTTACCGCCTGGAATCCCCTTATCAACCGCAGACTACCACTCGACCGAGCGGTTCTGCGTACTCGTTTACCCTTGCCGGCTGCAGCGAGTGCCGCAACTGCGTTAACGACACTCGCCGGTACATTTGATTATCGGGGGAAGCCGCTTCGGAGGGTTTACTTCGGGAAATTAACTATCGCTCCGTCCTCCTCTCGAATAATCGTCGAATGTTGGCTCGGATAAGAGTCACACAGCTATTACATAGATGTTACACTTCGTTTTTTTTTTTCTCGACGAGCCAAGAAGGGCCTGCTTTTAACAAAGCGATGATCGTTATCCTGAAACCGTAGCAGCTGATAATCCGACATGAAAGAAGAAGAACGCAGCGCGCAGCGCTAACGAAATTTGAAAATTGTCATCGTTTCGTTGGCGAAAACGTCAAAAGAGTTAATCAAGAGAGCTGCGCGCGATATCTTCGTGAGGGAAAAACGGAACCTTCGACATTTCACAACTTACCGTCGCCCTGCTCGAGGGAGCTGCCAAAGGTGCATCGATAACATCGTCGTGTCAGCTGGAGGAAAGAGAGAAAGAAAGAGGGAGGGAGAGAGCGCGTCGCATTGCATATTTCACCGATGGGCGCTCAGTGCGCGCTGCGTGTCGGTCGCGCCTGCGCCGGCCCTTACAGGGGGAAGTAATCGCACCGTGGGGTGGCTGCCGCGGTGGCGAAGGGTCGTCGCAGCACCCGCCGGGCATCGATTCGCCGCGGCGGCGGGGTGACGTCATGGCGCTGCCGAGTATACGCCACTGAGGGTCCGCAGCGTACGTGAGAGTCGTGGCGAGCGAACTCGGCGGATCTCTCGGCGAAGGAAGGCAGTGTCATGCCGTGGCCCTGACCTGAGCCCTCCTCAGGCCCAAGCCGACCACCCCGGTGCCATCCTTCCTCGGATTCGCTCGTGAATTCGTCCTCGAAACACTCGCTCCGGGGGGACACTCGGAGAGACACGCTGGCGCATCTCTCGACGCAGGGCCGAGCGGAGGACGACTCCACTTTCGTTCCTGTCGCTTTACCGTCTCAGCTGTGCACCAGTGAGTAGACTACACGCCACCGGCCGCTCTACCTCGACGACCGAGGAGCCGCGCGAATGCGACGGCCGTGCGAGAGGCAGGCGCGTCGTGCGGCCGCGTGCCCGCTGGCACCGCACGCTCGTTCGCTCGCTCGCTCGCTTTTCCGCTACTTCTCTCCTTCTTTCCGCTACCTCCGTCCCCTTCTCTCTCTCTTTCGCGCGCTCTTCTCACGTTCTTTCTCTCGGCTTTGGGATTCTATTAGCGCCGTTATCGTGCGAATTGCACAACGCGACGGACGCGACAGATCCGTCGCTCGTGCGCACTCGACGGATTCCCACATCCGACGATCGGAACCGCGTCACGAGTATACTTTGTCCCGAACACTTTGCCGGGTTCGACGGTTCACTTGGTCGGTGCGTAGCTCGTTATCGGCTTATCGTCGTGTCGATGCGACGAGCAACCCCGTCGAGCAGCAGCGATCGACCGTAAGCCGAGTAGTAGTCCGTCGAGGCCGTCGGTCGACTCGCGCGAATAGTGCACATTTCTGCAAAATCCGTCATGAAGGTAACATCGTCAAGCGTCGGCGCGTGGCGTTATGTAAACTTGGCAGTCTCTCTCGAACGGTTCAAACGATCTTAAACGAAGTGTTACAGTCTCAATTCGAGGACTATCTGCCGTATTTGGGCGGCGCGGCCGGTGCCCTCGTCGTCACCGGGGTTGCGGCTTACTGGGCTTCCAGACCGGCGGCTGAGAGACCGCTGTTCCCGCTCGACGCTCAGGCACTTCTGTTACCGGTAAGCGAATTCTGACCTTCTCGATCGCAAAACTCGCCTCGCGCAATCGTGAGACACACAGAAGGCTAGGTGGAGATCGTCGAAATTGTAGCGAGATATTTCGCAGATGACACTCTACGAATAGCGCGCGATAAGATAAGGCAATTTATCGCAATTTGTCATATAAATACACGAGGCGTCGGTATATGCTTAACACGTTGACTGCTACGGAATTTTTCACGATTCTGGTCTAAGAGGCCAATTTGATATCTCGTAGTTGGCAGTCAACGTGTTAATATTGTAACCAACATTTTTTTAGTCTTTCATCTTGTGACCACTTTAGGTAGAATGTCCTCGGAAACTCCGGTAGATAAGTGTCAAGGCATACGTATGACGCTTGGCACGTGGCAGCACAACGGCAGTGTAGATAATTCAGAGAGTTAATTTGCTAAATGCAGAATATATTCGCGCAATTTCTCCATAGTTCATGTATTATATAACGTATTTGTACGTATATATTTATTAATATTTATATTATTTATTTATATTTATGTGTAATAATTATCATCAAATCAGTCTCTAAGCAAAACGGAATATTTGAAATTGATTTCTTAACTTCTTACATATATATATATTAACTTTTCACAACGTTACTGTTGTTGATAATGCAAACGGTCTCACTGGCAATATGACTGAACAAAGTACACTATCGTTATCGCTTTAAGTTCAAAATGCTTCTTATTATTGTCATTCTTATCGTTTCGTTTGTGCTTGCTTTGGCATCATTAGTTTAAGCATGAAATCGTATGCTGATATCCGTCAAGTATCATTTGATACGAAGAAGTCACATTGACTTGAAGACAAACATGCGACCGCACATCCGGAAAGGGGATCGAGCCATCCGCGATTCTCGCGTACGAGCGGACGGACTTGCTTGTAAACATACCCACCGGAGTATCGTCCGAAGCCGTACAATTTGCCAATAGCGAGCGACAAAGCCGTGTCCTGCAACGTCGCGCGTTTCTCGCGTTTTGTCCGTCACGCTCCTTGAATTAACCGTGGCGGAGGTAGCTGAGATGGAGGACTTATGTCGTGCGCGCTCACCCGCGGATTCATTCATCGGCAGAAACACACAGCGACGCGTGTAATAAGACATCAGAGCGTGACGCACCACGACACACCGACAATTCCTTTGCGAAGCGAGACAGCCGACCGGTTAAAACATCTCCGCTCAAGTTATTTTCGAAGCCTGTCTACCACTGGTATAATGAGCTTCTTTCAGATTAACCTGACCACTCGCCTCGTACCGACCTTCCCCTCACCGTGTGTCTCGACTGTGTGTATCTGTTTACATAAGCTCACCGTACCCTCGCACTGACGTCGCCACAAGGGATGAAGAGTATCGATTTTGGCGAGCTCGATATGCGTGGCTCTTTCGATAATCGCCGATATATTTTTTTACCGCGTTGCTCGGATCGTCGCGCGATAGCCAGCATGTTCGATCACAATCCGGCTCCGGCGGCTCCGGGCGTCGTTTCGTTGGAACAGGATGATGCTCGGGTATTGATTTGATTACTTCGTCGAACGTCTCGACGTGCTCATGCACTTCACGTGTTTAAAAACAGTCGGCAATTGCCTCCTGTCCTCCGTAATTGTTCGGGATACATCGCAGACGTATCCAGCGGCTACTACCCGTCTACTACTCTGTTGATAATCTCGATAACACTTCGCGATAAATTCCGATTGAAACCGTTCAGCAGCGCTTCGGCCATCAATCGTAGCACATTCGCGAGAAACGAGATCTGAACGATTTTGTCGCCACTCCAAGATGTCCATAAGTGCACGTCATCTATTAAAGTCCAGCATTCTCCAAACGATACAAGGACGGGCACGTTCCGGACATATTGACGGGTTACCGTATCCGTTGAAACTTGTCCTTCAACCTCATCACGTTCCAGTCGTGCTTCACGAGGTTCCGGCGTGGACACTCTCCGGTTTCATCGAATTGATAGTCGATTTCGTGAGCATTTAGTCCTTCTCAAACCGAGTCTTCAGATTCCACAATCCTTTTGGGTTGGAAAGGTAACCAGAGGGTCGCTTTTCTTTCCTCGTCTCTCCCTCTCCTCGCCCGTGTATAATTCTCGGTTCAGATGCCGGTCTAGTTTCACGTTACCAGGTCGGTCGATGATCCATAAAACATCTACGTAGTTTCGCGCTCGGTTCCACGTCTCGGCGCGTCGTAAAACGCAACGTAATGACAGACCGGCTCCTTCGTCATTTCGGGGGGCAGGGGGACGCCCTTCAGACAAAAAAGCACGACGAAGAACGACGCACGGGAAGAGAGGAAGCGTGCTACAAAGAGAAGAAGAGCTCGTCGTCGTCGTCGATGCGTGACGTTGATCGGCCACCCCGCTGGCGGCCGTCCAAACTCCTCGGCGTCGAGGACGACGACGCCCGTCTCGTCGGCGTACGCACTATATTTAAACGCTGTCGAGGATCTTTCGCGGAGGATAGGCCTTGCTCTCGTGAAACGAGGCGATGCCGGTGCCGCACTGATGTTGTCAGTGCGAACCGGATATACTCACGCCGCGATTTCACGCAGTTCCACTTTTATATCTCGAGTCCTCCGCCGGTTATCCAAAGTCAAGGCTGATAATGGACGTATTTCTCTGTGCGCGGACAATAAATTCCTTGGTTCGGATACGAAGAGCGAGATGTGTACGGAAAAGAACTCTGTTCGTACATGGAAAAAATCATTCTGGTGTAACTAAATTTTCCGTTGCCTGGAGACCGCGGATGGGAACTCGGTTGCAGGAACAAAGAGATTTTTGCAGATAGTTTCTACTAGGGCTAGCGTTTTCTTTCAAAGACTCTGACATTTGATTTTTGAATCTCTGAAGGTTTGAAATTTCGGTGTTCATTATTCAGATTTTGAAAATATCGAAGCTTCGAAACTTCGAAAATCACGGCCTTTTAAAAGGAACCTTCGAAGCTTCGCCTTAATAAAATTTGAAAGTTTGAATTTTCTTCGAAGCTTCAAAATGATCGAAGATTAACAAATCCAGTTTCTATTCAGTCAATTGTTCTCAGTTGCCTCAACAGAGTTCGAAATGCATCCGAATGTTTGCACGAATGTTCTCATACAGAAAAAAATAATTTCGCTGTTGTAGCGAAATCATGATAGCTACTACATATTCGTTGCGACAGCGATAAAGTGTAGCTGACGATCAAATTATTTTGATTAGATAACTTTCATGATGAAAATGCGATATGTCTCACATGAGATTGTTCGACAAGTAATTTTGGATTGCATGACATCAAACGACATCGTAAGAATATAACATTCTCTTTTATGTAAAAATATAGCATTCTCTTTTACGTATACTAAAAAAAATGGTCTTGCACTCATAATGAAAATTATTAGATACGAGAAATTAGCTAAAATGGATGAATGACTAGCAAACATTTCAATGTCATATATATGTTGTATCTAATCAATATAGACAGAGATGAAATTTTTATCCGAACCATTTGTCTAATTCAGCAGGAAAGTTTCTTTGTGGAGCCCATCCAGATTAAGTCACTTCTTATCAAAAATTAATAACAGGATCTAAATTTTCCCGCATATATTGTCGGAATGCTGTTGCTCTAAATTATATATATCAAGTATCACAAACAACTTTCTAATAGTTACGGAAAACATCGATGTATCTACTCGTGATATTTAGAATTCTAACCGGATCGGAATTTCTAACAACAAAACATTTCCCTGAATATATAGTTCCAATTGCGCGTATTTATTCACAGGAGATGAAAATACGAGAGGTGAGGAAAGTCAATGAAGATATCCAATCGACTCCCTGGTCCCCATTCAATTACAGGAACTGAGTTTGTTTTTCCGCGTATAAACTGAACGGGAACCAGATGAAAATTCAATAACGGGAAATTGTAACTCTGTTACCGTCCGGAAATATTCTGTCTGAACATTCAGCTGTATTAAAACACGGCTGAGATAACAGAGAACGGATTGAACGGACGAATCTTTCCGTTCCTACGACCGAGTTTCCCCGTCAGATCCCTGTTTTTCCCAGGCGGGGGAAAATTCAGTTGCGTTAACGGGATAGTTGTTCCCGTGTAACAAAATGAGAGACTCTACTTCTTGATGTTTGACATTAAGAGGGTTAAGTCGAAAATTCAAATCTACGAGCGATGCGAACAGCTCTCTTGCCTCGACTCCGTGAAAAATATTCAGCCGGATGATTCGAAAAGTCTCGGGTAATTCAAAATTCAATATCCAACGACGGCGAATCTCCGTTTCGGCAGTCGCGCCGATATTGGATGAATATTCAAACCCGGCTCAGTCGCCTATTCAGCACACTGATATTCGGATCCCGAAATGTTTCCCGTTTTGGTTACGCTCGATGACGTTCGAGCGGCCAGTTTCCCGCTCTAATTTCGAACATTCCAATCCGCATCCGGACACATAATTATCCGGATGTTACATACTTGGGGTGAGCAGTGATGTTGACAACGCCACGACAGCGCATATCGTCTCGATCATCTCTCCCTCCCCCCTCCCCCACCCCCTCTCTCTTTCTCTCTTCGGAAGAGCAACAGCGAGCGCCTTCGACGGCACGGTCGCCCGCGTGACACCCGCGCCGCGAGCCAAAACCTCGGGCCGAAAGCTCAGCCGCAAGCTGTACCGCGGCCAAAATTCAGTGGTGGCGGGCGTGTTGGTCCGATCAGTGGTCCACCTTACCTAACGTGAACGCACCTTGCGGGTTTACCAAGTCAAGCGTGAAGAGCCAATCCCCCGACGAAGAGTCGTCCGAGGAGCCGTCGGCGACGGCGTGTCGCACGCCCGTTAAGTGTGCGTGTTACGTACGAGCAGTATGTCGTCGAGCTGCTTCTTCCACGAGCCGATTCGCCCGCCGATAGATCTCAGCGACCAGTCCGACACAATCAAGGTGCTGAAGAGTAGTGTCCCTTCTTCGTATTCTTCTTCTTCTTCTTTGAGATGCTTCCAAGAGTGCTCTCGCGATCGGCCCGCTGCGGTTCAGTCGTTGCGACTCGCAACCTCGATTCGTCCGGCGCGAATCGAGGATCGAAGCTCCCGTAAGGTCTGTCCTTTGAGCAGACGCGCGCGAGACGCACCGAGTTCGTTTGTCTAAGCTGCGCTTTCCGTATTTTCTCGCGATTTTTCTCCCCGTCGGTCACTCTCAGGCAACATGCCCGATGATGTATCTCGTTTAGAGCGTGAGAAGCTCGAGACATCGCGGTGCCAAGGAACAAACATGTAATCCCGATGAAGCAGATGATCTCTCTGAGAGGAATCTCGAAAGAAGCCGAAGGATCCGAAGAGGTCGTGGCGGGTTGATTCTTTTTTCCTTCATTTTTTTTCTGTCTTTTCGAAATCCGATAGTAATATTTTCGTGAGAATCGGAAATTCAATCTGGATTGATTTTCTTTTTGAGGAACTCGAAAAAACGGGTCGCACCGGCTTGTCGCGTTAAAGCCTCTGTTCGTTTCAACGAGATCGAACGTTTAATATTCGAATGCCGGGATTGTTTCTGTTGGACTGGTTGGATTACCCTCCGCCGCGTTCCACCGCCGAAATATCGGCGTTCGGTTAGCGTTGCTGCACTGAACGCTGGAGAGAGAGAGACGCGAAATAGAAATGCGTTACGGTATATTTTAGTCTTGAGTTATTTTTTTCTCTCTGCTTTTTTAACTCACGGCTGCCCTCGCTGCGCGTCTGAGAATTTAAATAAATTCGAGAAAATGTCAGAGCGTGTCGCTCGGTATAACAATGTAAATTATGCGTCGAACTTTTCAATGCGCACGTCGTGTTTCAGTGAATTACAAATTTGCTCGTTCATGATTCACGCCGTACCTGATACTATTTAAGAGCGACGGATGACCGAGCGAACTCGCTTACGCGAGCGGCTTCGAATCCACCGAGGCGTCTCTCGTGACTATTGGACGTTATAAAAAGTTATCGAGGTTATCGAGGAATATCGTAATAATGGGAACGTATGGCGTAACACATACGTGCGGATTCAGTGGATCGAAATACGAGGAAGTATTTTTTCACATCGCGACACACGTAAGTTCTCACGAGTCCTCCTCTCGTGAGACATTTCGGGGCAACTGAGTCGAAAGTCAAGTCGACTCCCGCCGGGAAACAAAATCATACCAAGATTTACTAAATTCTCGTGCATTTGTTAAATTGGAAGGAAGGCAATGTCGTCCACTTTAATTTCGCCAGACGTATCCCGGTAATTCGATCGATCTCTTAAAAATTTTCCCTCGATAATAATCGTCGACATTTCTCACCCCTGATCTTCGATATCTCGCGGGCAAGATTCTTCCGATAAGATCCCGATTGAAGAAAGGATTTGATAATAAGTACTCAAATTTGATGAATATTTGCCGACCAATATTTTATTAGGATAACCAAATAATTTAGGTACGTATACTATATATACAATACTGCAATTCTATATATTGCATATTTAGTACACGGAACGAAATCATTTGATCGCAGTAATGAAGCATTCGGTCGGCGAATATCCGCCAAATTTTAATACTCGTTACCAAATCCTCTTTTCAGCGAAGAAACGTCTCCGACGGTTACTTTCTTTCCGCCACGCGCCAACCGCCGAAGACAACACCGTCGAGAATATCAGCGGGGGTGCGCCGTTATCTCGGTTCTCCTCGGCGTATATACGGGTCGTAATTTCGCCGGCGATTGCATCGAGAACGTGGGTGGGTTGGTCGGACGCGCAGGTCGACGTCAGTCGAAGCCGAAAGAAGAGCGCGTGTCCGGTGCGTGCGACGGTCGGTGGCGAGATCGATATCTGCATTGGCGGGAGAGCGGGGAGGGGGAAGTACACGTATACGATACGCACGCAATTGTCCCTACACCTGCGTTCCCTTCGCCCGCACGCATCTTCGCCTCGCGCGCGCGGCGTTGCCCGGTTAAATTTAGCGTTGCACTTGCCGCGCGCGCGGTTTACCCTTACGTAATTCGGCGACCAACTACGCGCTGGACTCCCTCACGGGAGAAAAGAGAGACGCGCGTCTCCCGGCGTCTCCGCTTCTTTTCAAGTTCTCGGTTCCCGCTGTGTTCGCAGGGCGCCGAGCTCATCCGGGTGTCGAGGTTCTACAAGGAGGGCAAGGAGGGCAAGTTCGTTAGCTTCCTTCACGAGGACACGCTCACGCTCTACGACGGCTTCCGCCGCGGCGCCAAGGAGTCCAGTAAGTGTGTCCGTGACTCGGGAGAAACCGCGAACGGAACTCATCTTTGTAAATTGGAGCTGTTGTCGTGTGCGTTAATCGAGGTTAACGGAGCTCACGATCGATCGCTCGCTCGGCTGTTGCTTAGCCGCGCTTCGTTTAACTTCAACTAATATTTATAGACACACGAAGACACGTCGGCGTGAAATGGCAGACTCAGAATAGAGACCCGTCCGAGAAGAGGCCCGAATTAAAAAAAGAAAAGAAATATATATATATAACGAATATTAGAGGTCAGCGTTACAAAGTAATCCCGTAGCTTTCCAGCGTGCAATTTACGCACCCACCTGAAATATGAGTTTAAGACGGAGGTTTCTCGGTGGAGGCAAGGCGCTTCAATTGCGCACGTTGATTTAGCGGCTCGTTTGGCAAGCGTGGCAAGCGCTCGTGCTATAAAGCAGTAAACAAGCGGCGCACGAGCAGCTTCCTAACGAGCGGGCCGGACTTAACGGCGTGTATTATCGACGGCGATATTCGCCCCCACGCGCCTCCGCAGATTCGACGACCTTTCGCGTCGAAGGTTGACAGCTATTTCGAGTACGTGTGTATCTCTTATTTTTGCCTCGGGACACACAGCCGACACCTGTCGCGATTTTACGCGAGGCTCGCGGTTTTACGACAACGGCCGCGCGACGACGACGACGACGACGACGCGTCCGAAAGATAATCGATAATCACGCCTGGAGTCACGTTCACCCGGCGATCGTACGATGAGATCGCCGCTGGTCACCCGGCACGTGTCCCCGTTTGCCGTTTTACGTCGACGTGGAGATTCGTTATAGCGTTACGTAGCTGCGCAGCTTAATTAATTCATTAAATTCATCCGATTTTATCCGCGCTCCGCTGTACGGTATGAAATAGAACCGCGAGCTGTATTTCACTTTCGAGACTTAGCTTTTGCGTATGACGAAGCGTTCTATTAGGTCAATCGAGAGGTTCGCTATTTTCAATAAATGACTGCCACCGGCTTGACCGATGAATCATGATCGTGAACTTTTCGACCGATTCGATGTTAAGGTGAAAGTACCAATGCCTGGACACGCGCCTAATTGTGGACATTCTTGTTGTTTCCGCCTTTAAATACGAATGTTAATCTTTGAACATAAAATGTTCGTATACATACAATATATGATATGTATATATATTCTATGTTGGAAGTTTGGAATATTCGTACTTATACGCCGAAACAATAAGAATATGTCCAGAATTAAGTATATGTCCAGGCATTGGTACTTTCTCTTACCTTAAACATACGAATATTTCTCTCTTAATCGAAACCAATAAAGACTCTCGATTTTGTTCCGAAACAATCTCATCGCTCTCTTTGGTGTCGAAGGATTCACCTCTTCAGCAGGTTCGCCAATAAAAGTCCAACGCGGATGTCTCTTCCGCTTACAGATAATGGTCCCTGCCTCGGGTGGAGGGAAGGGCCCAACAAACCCTATCAATGGCTTCATTACAACGAGACGCTGCTCAGGGCGAAGAATTTTGGTTCCGGCCTAGTGTCCTTAGGGCTGGCCCCTGGCACGCAAACCCTCGTAGGCCTGTACAGTCAGAACTGTCCCGAGTGGATTCTCACCGAGCAAGCATGCTACACGTATTCTCTCGTGGTGGTGCCATTGTACGACACCTTGGGTCCGGACGCCTGCGCGTACATCATCAACCAGGCTGACATCAACTTGGTGGTGTGCGAGGACGACCAAAAGTGCAATTTACTCCTCGACAAAGCGCCGAGGTACGTGATGCAATCCTCTCGTAGCGCATTTATCCGGTCTCCCGCGGGCTTTACACGTCCTCCGGGTGCGCGTGGATTTTGCGGCGAAATTTTTCCTCGTAACCTCGTAACTATCGATTTGTTGATTCCACCCTCCTACACGGCTCGTTTACCCCCCGAACGCGCGATTTCCGACGTCCTACGCGGCAACAATCGCCGCCTGAACACGGTTCACCCGCCGGCATTGTCACGTATGCGAGCTCTATTATATATCGACGCTATCGATTATTGACAGAGTTACGGGCGTTCAAATATTAAATCGGACTTAATTCAGCGTGAAGGTGGGAGCCACGAGAGGGCGAGTAATTCGGCCTAGTTAAATCGATCGCGCGATGAACGTCGTGCGATGATTTATGCACAAGCGTATTCTTAGATTATTGGGGTAAACTCCTCTCTAGAATGACGAACGGCGAAGGCGTGACAATTTTACGCTTGTGCGACAATTTTGCGCAACAACGTTCGGAGGAATTCGCTTCGAAGACACGCATTGAGAGAATATCTCAGCTCGTAGGTGAACCGCGTCATTTTTTTCCTCTCTCTCTCTCTCTCTCTGACAGATTTAGAGTCTATTAGAACCAGATGTGATCAATTTCGTTCGAAGTGCTGGTTGTCCGGGAGAAAACACTCCCCCCCTGCCGCCTTTCGAAGAACATCGCAAACACGAGAGAGCGATGTGTCGAGAACGTTAATTTGTCACGCTGCCAAGAGTCCGGCCAGAGTCCGCTCTCGAGGGCCTCTTTCCCTCCCTCCCCCGAGGAAGAACGTCCCTCGTCGTTCTTTCTATCATCGGTTCCGATCTCGACAGGTGTTTACGGAAGCTGGTGGTCGTGAAGGAAACGCGGCCGGCGACGAACCAGCGGGCGAAGAACCGCGGCGTCGAGCTGTACAAGTTCGATGACATCGAGCGGCTGGGCGCGCAGAAGAATTACCCGGAGCTGCCGCCGAAAGCGTCGGACCTCTGCACCGTATGCTACACCTCCGGCACCACCGGCAACCCGAAGGGCGTCATGCTGACGCACCAGAATGTCATGGCGGCCATGTGCGCGGTGCTAATGCAGCTGGGCGATCATAAGGTCACGTCCAAGGACACCATGGTCAGCTTCCTGCCGTTGGCGCACATGCTGGAGCGCAGCTGCGAGAACGCCATGTACATGGTCGGCGGCTCCGTCGGCTTCTACAGCGGCGACATCAAGAGGCTCGCCGAGGACATGAAGGCCCTCAGGCCCACCGTGATGCCGGCTGTGCCTAGACTGCTAAACCGGATATACGATAAGGTGAGTCGCGGCCGGGGAGAGGATCCGTTCCGAGATTTTCGAAGAGGATCGAGATCGGGAAGCTGGAATCTTTGGCCTTGCGAAACGCGAACTTGAACTTCTCCCTTGATAATCAGTTTTCGTATGCTATGAAGAGAGAATTTTCAACTCTTTATAAAATGTGGATATTTTGAAAATGACCTTTCACCCGGTTATTATTTCTTAATTATTGACCATTTGTGTGTGTGTTATAAAACTTTCATTAAGTTCTCTTATAAGATTATCACGCCTCGCTCGATTGGCAAAGTTTTTGTCCCGCGACGCTTACCGGTTTTCTTCACGGTCGCTTTCAACGTTTCCACGTCAGTTCTGCGTTCTTTTTTTTTATCCGACGTTCGCTCTCCGAATCATCGCGCATTTAGATCGAGCATTAGCATTTAGATCGAGCATTTAGATACGCGCGCTCGCGTTCCTGTTTGTCAGCGCGGTGTTTATTTCGAGTGGTTTATCGACGTTGTTCGCGCGCGGTTCGCGCCGATCCGCGATTTATTTTTAGTTCGCGCTCGGCCGGCCGCTGGACTCGCGTCGTGACAAACCGTATCGTGCGCGTACACGTTCCACTTCCGATGATCTTTCCCCCCCCCCCCCCCCNCCCCGGAGTTTGTTAGTGGATCATCGTTGTTTAAATAATCGTCCATCCCGTAATTTCGCGCGCGCAATAACATCCCACGCGGGCGATAAATGCCAGGAGTAACACGATTCTAAATCCAACGTATCGGATTCCTAAACGATGTCGGCCCGGAAGAAGCCACTATTCATCCCGCGTCTACACGGCCGGTGCCGACGCGATCGTACAGTCGCGCTAAACACAAAACGGTCCGTTAAACGGACGATTTCTCGTTGTAAAGCTTCGCAAAAGCGCCGAGACACTTTTGCCCTCCTCTCTACCTCTTCCGCCGAGCGCGAATGTCGGGGAAACTTATCCGGACAGTTCCCGCGGCGGCACTTCCGCTCGCTAGTAACCGAAGTTACTACGCGCGACCCATTGTCGCGCGGAAAACACACCTGGAAGCCGTCCAATATTTTTACGACGTGGCGACAGCGTGCTCTCGCGCAGGCAGTTATGAGCCCCCAGAGCTGTATTCCTTTCATAAGATTCGCGCATCGCTGCGCGCGACACTCAGCACGTCTCTCTGTAGAGCGCGCGCGAATTTCCCTCCCTCCCCCCCGACTACGCAATATCGCGCAACGTGCCAATGCCACGTCGGCGAGGAGAGCAGAGACAGGTGCGACCGACGACGACCCGACGACGTAACCCTGAAGTCCATCTGAATGAGGCACGCGGTTCGATCACGCGACGACGTGACCACGCGCGCCCGCGTACACACCATTGAATTACTTTCCGCTCGCGCGCGCCGTCACCAATCCGTCCACGTACCCCGTGCTCGATGTTGAATCGACCTTCGGCACTTTCCCGCGGGCGTGACATCTCGAGAGCTCGCGAAGCGAAATCCCGAGACGGAGGGCGGATATTCGCCGGATTTTCCTATATTCAAGATCGTCTTAAATTTCAACCCCGGGTGCCACGTGACCGATGAAACGGGCATCTTGCATCTCGGGATGAACTTGAGACGCGATCTTGAGATGAACTTGAGACGACCTTAAGCGTAAGATTGGAATCTATATGAGTATCATTCAGAGAGCTAAAGGTCGATGCGCTCGCGCAGGTGCAAGCCGAGCTGCAGAGCTCGTTCCTGAAGAGGATGATCTTCAACATGGGCGTGCGGGCGAAGGAGACGGAGATCAAGAAGAGCATAGTGAGAAAGAACAGCATCTGGGATAAGATCGTGTTCAAGAAGATCCAGGAGTCGATGGGCGGCAGGCTGAGGCTGATGCTCGTGGGCTCCGCGCCGCTGGCGGGCAGCGTGCTCACGTTCACCAGATGCGCCATGGGCTGCCTCGTGGTCGAGGGTTATGGTCAAACGGAGTGCTGCGCGCCAATAACACTTACTATTCAGGTGCGTACGTCGCTCAGATTGCCGATCGCGCTCAAATTATGGTCGAGTAGCACGATAAGGAGCTCGACTCTCTAATTCATAATTCGTAACTATGCGTACATGTAGGCTAAGGTCCATTTCACGCTACAGAGCTTTGAAACGCTTGAAGAACGAACACGATTGGTCTCCGCGGTGCTTCAAAGCGTTTGCAGCATGAAACGAATCCTAACCGACATGTGACGAGTGTGTTAGAAGATCGAGCCCTAGGTGTGATTTTACTACGCTAATACGAGAACGGATCTCGAAGGATCGATCTGTACACTGAAAAAAAATTGCTTCAAATATAATAAATTTTATTTCATCCAAGCAAATTTCTTCATTGGCATGCTCGGAAGAAACTAATGTTTCGACTCGTAAGTACGATTGTTAGACTTTTTAACGGATACGTATCTTTATCTTAAATAAAAAAATTGGCTTGAAATGAAAGATGATTTTCTTATAAAGAAATTATTTGCTTCATTTTACATATATTTATTGTAATCAAATAATATTTTATTTAGTTCAAAGATATTATTCCAAATAGTAGCATTCTTTCTGTTAAATAATAGTTTTCTTGAACGAGACAATAAAATTTTTACTTAAACAAATAATATTTCATATAAGTATATGTTGTTTCTGTGAAACAAATTTTAATCAAATAAGTAGAAATATTCAATCTAAAGAAATCTTTTCCTCTGTGTAGATAGTGTGATGCGATGACGATATGTATTCGTCGTAATGGAATATCGTATATTTCAATCTCGCGCAGCATGTACGTCTCTTTACATAAACAGAGTGTCTCAAACTTCTCGCGGTCTCCTCGTCGGTCGAATGGTCAGTCGAAAAGTTCAGCTGAAGTTTCGAGATTGCACTTCATGTGGAAAAAGTTTTTTCGTTGATGTAAAGTTCGTCGTTCGTGAATACGCAGTTGCCTATGACACAGGTATTCACAGACGTATCTTATATTTAAGATCATTTAAATTTCATCTTTAGATGCTGTACGGTTCATTTCATTGGTTACGTAATATCTGAAGATAAACTTCAGATGATCTTAACTATAAGATCTGACTATGAACGCCGGCTTATAATTCATAGCCAACTTTTTGGGCAGCTATCATATAATTTTTCCCTAGGGCGGAAACGTGAAAAGTGAACATTTTCAAATACTTTCAAATGAAAAAATGTTCACTTTTCAGAAGTTCACGCTAGAGGATAAGATTCATGATCCCTTAGGGGTCGATCGTAAATCTTTCCTTCCAGCATGAACTCGTGAAACGTGGACATTTTCTAATTTGAAAATACTTGGAAATGTTTAATTCTCCCGTTTTTGTCTCGAAGAAATATTACGCGATTGCTGTCCAGTAAGTCGATTCTCTTTTAACGACAATGTCGTTGCGTGGGTGTAACATAAAAGTGTAACATACAGAAAAGCTACGCAACGACACAATAATGATAACGACGCAATAGCGATAACGATATGTTATTAAAAGTTAGAGGATCGCTACTGATAGTGAAATGTTATCACATTGCTGTCTGTGTGAGCTATGTTTCTGAACATTATTAACATTGCTATTTGTGAAACCTGTATGTGAAAGTTATCAATATTGTTATCTGTGTGACCTGTATATGAATGTTAATATTTTGTTGTCCGTATCACCAGTACATGAGGCCGACTGTAGAAAATTGAGCTAGATTTTCCGACCGACCCGATATCTCGTTACTTGCGTTTTCCCGTTCGTTATCCCACTCGTTTTTTTTCCACGCACATTTCCAAATGCGAGAATTCTAAAAAGCTCGTTAGAAAGCAAATTCCTTTATATACTCTTCAGGCAACGTACGTTCACGAACCCATTAACGTCGTATTTTACGTGACATCGTTTTAAAGAGCGTGCAAGGAATACGTATAAAGAAATATCTACGTATGTTGGTGCGTATATATATTAACGCGCTATACACATTATAGAGAAGCTTTCGATCTATAGTTACCAGCTACCGGTTATACAAGCAGTTAGTATATATATGTTTGGCGAATACATTTTTTATCAAACTGTCAAGTTTAATAAATGTAGATCACAGCTTTAGCTCCGCTGAGTAAACTTCGACGGTAACCCGAGGATTTCTCTTTATGATATAATGCATTAAGAGCTCCACCTGCGTGGCCGTTGTTTTCTTTCTCGCTTTTATTCGCTTATCGCGAAGTAACTTTATCGTCAATAAAAATGCGAAACTATTCTGGGAAATGTGGAGGATTACTCCGTGCGAAAAAACATATCGTTTTACGGTAGAAGAATAAAAAAACGTTCGACCGGTGTTACGCTTTAAAATCGTGCCAGAGAGAGAGAGAGAGAGAATGTTTGAGCATCGTGTAAAGCGAGCGCCGTACTTTATCGAACGCTGTTTGGCATTGCGACAAGAACGACGCGCTTGTGTCGGCTTTCGCGAAAATTTATATGCGTAGATCTCTACATGCATAGATTTCCGCTAATATTCCGTACATTCTTCACATGTGTTCGCACGCGTGCACACGACAACTAATTCGCGCGGATTATCGGAGTTCGTGCGAGCAAATGACATGCGAGGTCTCGATAAAGCGACAACTATCGTCGTTCAAAGTCGCGTTTCCCTCTCCGGGAAGTGAGGAGGCGGCGGTTGCTCTCACCGCCGCGGATACGGCTGGGCGAAGTGCGAAGACGTTGTTTTTATCGAATACCGACTAATAATCAAGCACGCGCGCGCGAGCAAACAGCGAGTCTCGATAAGCCAGAGAACACTATCGTCATTCAAAGTCGCGTTTCCCTCTCCGGGGTAATGAGGAGCGAGGGAAACGGGAGCTGTGTTCTCATCGCCGCGGACACGGCCAGGCAAAGTTCGAAGACGTTGTTTTTATCGGATGCCGGCTAATAATCAAGCACGCTGCGCGCGTGCTCTCTATTCTTGGCGCGTCTGCGAGTATCGACGTAGACATATAGACACGGTGGCGAGCCGGCGGTCGTGCGCGGCCGTAGATATTTCTGTCAGCTCATCGAATCAAAGCTTTACAGCCATGTGCCAGGACACGTGATGTCCTTCATCACAAGACCATTAGCTCTTGTGCGCTATCGAACGCCCCCTTGTGAACGCTCGGAGGACCCATCGTTCCGTACTACCGTCGTTCTATATCGCGCGGCTGTAATACCAGCGCGTGAAGTTTTATATAATCGCGAGAGTTTAAAACGAGAGGTTTACGTATGCAAAAGGATTCACTTCCTCGTTTGATGACCGCAGGGCGATCATGTGCCGGAACACGTGGGCCCACCAGTGGCCTGTTGCTGCGTGAAACTCGTCGACGTTCCGGAGATGGAGTATTTTGCCGTGAACAACCAGGGCGAAGTGTGCGTCAAGGGCACTAACGTCTTCGTGGGCTACTACAAGGACCCCGAGAAGACCGCTGAGGTCATTGACGAGCAGGGATGGCATCATACAGGAGATATCGGCGCGTGGCAGCTTGTAAGTTATTGGGTTTTCCTCCTTGGTATTATCATATTGCGTTGCAATTGTCAGACTTGCGGTTTAAGAGTTTTTAAATTTCAAGTTGGTTGGTCTCGAAGAACATTTCTGAATAGTATACATTGTTTTGTTACTTATAGTGGTAGTTATCAAGCATACGACGTCGCAAATAATTGGAAAGTTCTTCCACCGAAGATTTTAACGAAGTAAAATATCTCTTGCAAAATACGAATCATATTTTATTACTTGTTTTGTATTTCAGAATGGAACGTTGAAAATAATCGACCGTAAGAAGCATATCTTCAAGTTATCGCAAGGGGAGTACATCGTGCCGGAGAAAATCGAGAATATTTATATACGCAGCCAATATGTGCAACAAGTATTCGTCCATGGGGAATCACTGAAATCTTGTATCATAGCAATAGTGATACCAGACGTAGACGTTATCAAGTGCTGGGCGTTGGAGAACGGTATCCCCGGTACGTTGAGCGTCTTGTGCGCCAACCCAGAAGTCAAAAGACTAATTTTGGACGACATGTTAGCCTGGGGAAAAGAAGCTGGTCTCAAATCCTTCGAACAGGTAAATCAGCGTCGAACGGAGTACAGAGCGGCGTTATCGAAACAAGTATATTTCTCGGAAGCGCGAGTCGCAACAAGATAAGAACGTTATCATAAGAAAATAACTTCATTATTCTTCCCTATTCCATTTTTTCGCTTATTTCGAGAATTTCGAGGATCGTTGAAACTCATTTCGTCCCGTCTGTTTGTGAAAATAAAGAGAAGGATGTGGAGACTTATGAATGAATCGATTGCAGGTAAAAGACATCTATCTTCATCCAGACCCGTTCTCCGTACAAAATGGTCTTCTAACACCAACGCTAAAAACGAAACGGCCTCAATTAAAAGCGTACTTCAAGCCGCAGATAGAAGATCTCTATCAACATTTGGACTGACCAGACTGACAGTTATCGATCGCCCGCACCAGCACTGACCGAAACGACGATCAAGAAAGAAGGAAAGCGCCTTCTCGCCGTCACTTCTCCTCCTCTCTCTATCTCTTCTTTTCTTTGTTCTTTCCCTCCCCCTCTTATCTGTCTCCCTTTCTTCTCTCTCTCTTTCACAAACATACACACACACCGAAGTCACTACTGTCATCGAATGTTCGTTAACCCTCGATACTTTTATTATATATATCATTTTCCACAGGTACATTAGGGACGCAGACAAAAAGAAGCACCGTTTAGGCTATTAAGGTAAATGATAACATTACAAGTAATAAAAGGAGTTATTATTAGGCGCGTCTAGTTTTTCTCTCAATTACAAGCATCCTTTGATACTTTCAGTGATAGATGTGTATTTACGAGTCGTCGACCTTTCACCCGCGTGTAATCTTAATGTACACGGTGACCGCTGTTGTCCCCTGCGTAAGACACGATTGTAGAATGCATTTTTAGTTGATAGAATCCACCGCCGAACTCGCGATCACGCTCGCTCGGCTCGGTCAATGTAACAATGACACAAGTAGCCGTTAACTCGAACATGAAGAGGTAAGGATTTCACGTGCTCGTCAGTCGGCACGCCACACAAATCATGGATATTGTTTAATAAATATATTTCTCGCTGTGTGTGTGTATACACACTCTATGGTTCGGAGTACCTTCAGAACGCAGAAGGCGATATATCGACCGATCGAACTTCCGGATATCCGCTTATGTAACAACTGTGTATGCGTGTACCGAAGGACTTTTCCGATCTTTTCTCGCAACGTTCGAAACAATCTTCAGGCAGCGGCGCTCGGAATAAATCGCATTTGGTAATTATTCACACCGGCTCAGTGTATTACCGATCGCATGAAAAACGTTGGAATTTTCATCTCTTTACCACGTGAGTGGTCGATACTTTTTTTTACCATAGGAATCTTATATAGCAATCACACTGGCTGACCTTACCCTCCTGTTCGGTGATATTCTCCGCCTGTTCTACGTTAGCCAGCGATTCGTCCGCGTGGAGTGGAATCAAATTAACGAGAGATTAAATGTACACGGCGACGACGGCCGCTCGTCGAGGCAAAATGTGACAAACAAGTCCGCACGGACGATAGACGATACGACAATTAGTGATGATCACATAATTACCTAACGAACCTCGCAATTTGATAGAAATAACCTTTTGAATTCTCTGATAATAAATATGGCTTCCACAAGCCGGTCATCCGGCCGAAGAGAGCGTATGTTCTTTAGCTTTTAGACTTAAAACTATAGTATATCACAAAGCACGCGACGATTATCAGTACTAACGCCACCGTCGCTAAAATAACCCTCTGTTGGAGACTGCGGAAGATCATTCCCGATAATAATCGAGACCCACGTCCCAACTCCGCGTCCGTCTCGCGTAACTAAAGCAAAAGACAACATATATATGATTACAGGTTAATTACAGGTTGATGATTCTATACAGGACTTTTTTCCTCTGTGTCGTTAGCGTCGATTATCGACACGCTCGCTAACCCGCACCAGCAAGGCTATTAATTGCATGATTGATAACTTGCCCTCCCTCTGCTGCGCTGTATCGTTTCTCGCTGCTCGTGCAGTTCCTTTAACACTTGCGACCCGATCTCCTCCGTTTCCAGCGCCACGCGATAGCCATTCTGTAACGTCCGTCCTGTTCTCTCTATTCTCTCAGACGCGTCCAGCAGTCTTTTCCTCTGGTCTTCCGTTACATTGTTGTCCCAGGACTCCTCCACGGTGATCTCCGTAACGTCCTCCTTTGGTTTCTTCGCCGCCTGGAACTCCTGAGTCAGGCGCTTCAACTCTGCCCGGTGACTCTCCACGCGACCGCGCAGCCGATCGCGAGCCGTCCCGTTCATCCCACGAACCTCCAACTCCATCTGCTCCAGCTACAGATTACAAGTGATTTCTGCCTCATCTCTGAATGTTCTCCCTTTTCTTCCTTCCTCTCTTTCTCCGGAACGACATCAGAAAACAACCTTCCCCCGATGCGATCATTCGGTTCGTCAGTCGCGACATTTTGATATTCGACGTGAAATATTTTTCCAAATAATCTTCATACATAGATTAAAATCTTGTTGAAACGAAGTCCACTTGAAGTTAAGTGGAAGATACGACTCCATCTCCGTATCGCGTGTATTTATGATATTTGAAACTGGATAAAACTTCGTGTATCCTTCTCTATCAATGAACTCGAGAATAAACGATATTACGATATTTTTCTTTCCAAAGAAATACCGACTTAAAGACGGTTTAAAGATGCAAATGTGAAAGCGATTTACATATTCTGTGTACAGTACAAGGTACACATCAAACACTTGATCTCCCGGACTTAATTATTCATACGGAATACATTATCTCGAGCGACACGCGAGTCCCTCGAGAATCATCTATATACGTACTGTCACGCTTGAGTTAATCGTCGTTGTACGTATCTTGAGTAACGTGTGGTATAATTTTTTTATAAAAAAACAAGAGATATACGCAAAATATGCAAAAAATCAAACGTCATCCTAACCCTACATTATAACTGTCTCTCGACGGTCGGCGAATCGCGCGAGCCCATGACTTGGCTCTTTTCTGCTCCGTGAGTGAAGAGAATTCAAATATAATTACCAGCTCTTGAGCTTCCTCAATTTGCCGGTCCACATCCTGAATAAAGGCCCTTTTCTCACCTGCAAGTTACGTCACGATTATATCGATTATTGCTTTAACGTCACTTTCGTACCGGTCGTCGTGGCGCGCGTCACCGTGCAACGGACGCGAACGCGCTCGCGATCGCGTCCCCGAATTACTCACCGCCGCTCTGGCTCCTTATTCTGCCGATCTTCGCGGTAATGTCAGCTGTCAAAACGGCATACTGCTGTTCGTAGTTGTCAATGAGCGACGCCATCTTAGACACAGATGTGTCATCGACTAAGGGGACGTGCCAGATGGCGATTTAAACCGAGCGACTCTCGCAAGGCGATATCGCACATCGGGGGAAGCACTTTTCGCCCCGCACGCTGCGCGCCGGTGGCGCTCGCGCTTTTTGCGCGCGCAATTTATCGTCATCGCGGGGCTCGAGATGCGGAGAGATTCGAATTGATTTTCTGTCCAATATTAACGAGCAAAACAGCACATAAGTAAATCGTTTTGTGGAAATGAGTAAAAAATAGAGCCGCATGAGACTACATGCAAATGCAGTTTTTTGTCAAGAGTCAGCGAGTCGAGCATCTTTGTTCCGAGAACAAATATCGGAGCTTGAAAGTGACCGCCAGATGAAATCTTCGAGACTGATAGTGAATTCGATCACCTGCACTATACCGGATTCCGTGCATTCTGAAGGTTGTTATACGTGAAGCAGTTATTTAGATAAAAAGGCACGTAATCATATTTGAACGATTAAACGTCTAATAATGATATCGTCACGTTATTAAGCAGAACGTACATTAATTATTTCGTCATCAAAATGCTTGTGTTATCCCATTTTATTTGGATATGTCGCGGCCTTCGGTAATTCGGTATGTACTAATCCGGGTGTAACGTGGGCGACCGAATTCATTATAAATTGCAGTTTCACGTAAGATCGTTGCATTGATGCGAAGAAAATCGTATCGTCGCGTTCTCTCAGTTACACCTTGCCTCGTATCCATTGCACCGTGTTGCACTTTCCGACATCCAAAAGGGGCCAAACGCCGACGGCAAGAAGAAGAGGTAGGGAGATCACGAGCATATGCAGAAAGTGCAATTAGAAAGGGACTGATAAGCTCGATGAACGATGAACCTCACGAACAAGTCCCGAAGAGGTGACTTAAAAGAACATGTCCACTGTGTCAGCAGTTTAGAGACCGGTTAAAGGGCGGTTAAAGGGGTTAAATGTCATTGGGATGTCAGGAATGTGGCCACGACGACGACACGTCACTGCTCGCGAGCCAATGGCCGGCGAAATCTCATGAATCTCGACCAATCGCCGATGCCGGTGATACCGCGACACGCGGCCAGCGCACGTCGGCACTCTCGGCGAGCCGCCCGCTTGCACAGTCGGTCGACCGACAGTCGAGATGAAGATGGCTGCTGAGGTGAGGTGGCTTCTAGTTTTTCTTATATGCTGCGCCGTCTCGCCGGGCCGCGGCGAGACGCCGCATCGAAAATTCGAGTACAAGTATTCGTTCAAGCCGCCGTACCTCGCGCAGAAGGATGGCAGCATACCGTTCTGGGAATACGGCGGAAGTGAGTAGCAATCCCCGTGCCATAACCTTCCCGCGAACCACGTCCGCTGCGACGTCGCGATGCCGCTACGCTCTCACGGTTCCGTATGTTCTCGCAATGCCGATCCGCGCGACGAAGCGAGGAGACATGGTCGTCCGCGAGACCCGCGTCATCGCGATTCCTCTCGCGTCGCGAAAACGCTCACAACAGCGCTCTCCGGATGGCACAAAAACACCGACGTGTCAACGTGCACGTTTCGTCGATGGAAAAAGTCATTGACGTTCGATCGCGGGACGCGAGACGCACGCGGTGATCAGCGAGCGACGCGCACTATCAGGCGTGTCGACGTGTCATTATTTGCGATCAACTTCCAGTCACAATTTGCTACGCAGAATAGTGGCTTGGCTTCTTTTCCTCACGGCAGAGACCGTGTGTGAGACGACGGTTTGTTTTTAAAGGAATTAATTAGAATATGCTGTTGAAATGTTGTTTACGATATTAGGGAGGCTTTTCCTCTTGTGTCTAAGAAGAATATACGATATTGATGTCCAAATACATCTGCATGTCTTGAATATGATTGAACATATGTTTTATCTGCTTTCTGTCAAAACATCCCCCACAATACTCCACATATATGCGATTACAGATAAAACATTATCTGATTTACCGTTGCTCATTTTCCGCATATCTATTAGTACTTTGAATTGCAGATGCCATTGCTAGCTCGGAAAATGTTCGAGTTGCACCATCGCTCAGAAGTCAAAAAGGTTGGTATGCAGGATTGCGCAACAATGCTTGCGAAGACTAAATTAGCTTACCGGCTAAATCGGCAGTTGGCTACTTTGGGCAAGCTTACAAGGCGTCTGAAAATATTGTCCAGGTGCGATATGGGCGAAGCAACCGATAAATTTTGACTGGTGGGAGGTGGATATAGTATTCCGCATAACTGGTCGAGGGAGAATAGGAGCGGACGGTTTGGCGGTTTGGTACACAACTGCGAAGGGCGCCTACAATGGCACTGTATTCGGCAGTTCGGACATGTGGACGGGACTGGGAATTTTCTTCGATTCTTTCGACAATGACAATAAACACAACAATCCGTATATTATGGCAGTTGTTAACGATGGAACGAAGGTCTTCGATCATACAAGGTGAGTCGCGTCGTTTCGAGCATAGTTGCTTTCTAGCAAGAGACACAAGTCGATACAAGTCTAATTATATCCCCGGGAAAATTGATTATATATGAATTTTGTCTCAATGTGCTCATATATAATCATAGAATAATTCCAGTATATATATCGCACCTAGGGAAAACTTAATTTATCAAGTATTATTTGTTATATTTAAGGCAAATGAACCGTACAAATAAAAACTATACATTCTCTATCGCTATAAAAAAAATTGGAAATACGAAATATTTGCTTTTTATATTTAACAGAAAATCTTTTAGGAACCCTTGTATTTTTGCCAAATATTCCATAAGGGTGAGGTATACGGCTTATAAAAAATTTGCAAATAATACTTATAAGACGTAAAGTGATATAGTAACTTGTAAAATGTGTGTAAAAAGTTGATTAGGATATAAGAATGAGAAATAAATATACGAAAGGTAACAATAAAAGTAATTTATAAATGTTTAACATAAATAAAATTATGTCTTACAGACACGTCTTGTAACATGTCTTATAACACGCAATAACATGCAATAACATTTGCAATATTTACTGTACAAACCAAACCCGAAATGCTTCCTTCAAAGCACCTACCGCAGCATAAATTCTGTTAAAAATACCGTGTGTCCCAAACAGGGGGTATATAAGACATCAAGCTGAGCAAAGAGCTAAACACTTATATTTTGCTATATCCTATCTTTTAATATCTCTACACTTATACATCGCAAAATAATCATTAAGTCTCTTACATTCCCTACAATAATTATTTTAAGCAGGTCGTAATATAAGATTATGCTACTTTCACATTAAGAAATCGATTCAATTCAGGAGGGTTTCGTTAACATTAACAATAAAAATCTGAAATCATAATACAATACTAACATAGCATAAAGACATATAATAGAGTGGTTGCGGATAAATCACATATATAATTATATATAATTATATATAATTTTATATGATTATATATAAACATATTTCCTGGCCTGCATTTATCCTTATTTTACATTTCGTAAAAAAAAGATAATAGATGAAATAACTAGAGAGACTTATGTCGACTTATGTGTCTTGTTGGAAAGTAACCGGTATGCACGCGACGTGTTCGAAATATTTTAAAAGTTTGTTATCTTATTGCGAAACAGCGATGGCTCTTCGCAGCAGTTGGCAGGCTGTTTACGAGATTTCCGTAATAAACCTTTCGCCACGCGAGCACGGATAGAATATTATAAGAATACGTTAACCGTGAGTACACGCCGAGTGTGATTTTCTCGTCGCTTTTAACTTAACGTCTTAATCAAACGGAATTTCAGCTAATGTTCCACAACGGTATGACGAAGAACGAGCAAGATTACGACATCTGCTTCCGAGTAGATAATGTTGTACTGCCGAAGAATGGTTACTTTGGGATTTCCGCTGCCACTGGTATGTGCATGTAAGAAAAGAAAAAAAGAAGGAAATGAAAACGACAGAAGTAACTTCGACGATCTACACAATTATCCTCATGTGTGCATACTCTATTCACATTTCTAACCGATACGGTGTTTTGCAGGTGGTCTAGCCGATGATCACGATGTCTTGCACTTCCTAACTACCTCCCTGTACCCACCCGGACAGTTGCCAGTGGATGGGCACAAGGTATCGGTAGAAGAACAGGCCAAACTCAATAAGGAATATTTAGATTACCAGAAGAAGCTGGAGGAGCAGAAGAATGAGTACCGCAAGTGAGTATGCGTTCGCGTCTTCATGAAGCGATATCGCATCGCAGAAAGATATCTTTTAACAACGGCGACATTTCGACAGGGAACATCCGGATCGGCCTCTTAAGAGCGAGTTCGAGGATTATTTCGAGACGCAGAACCAGAGGGAATTGCGGCAGGTATTCGATGCCCAAGGTCAGATGTTCGAAATGTTACGCGAGCTCCACAATAAATTAGACGAGGTTGTGGGCAGGCAAGAGATAACGTTGAGCCTGATGACTCAACAAGCGGGTGGTGAGTTGCCGGAAATTGGATTTATCGACGTACGAACGAATTCTTCTTGATCGAAATGCATGAATCGCAGGTGCAAAAGTCTCAGGTAGCCAGGCGGGTCAGCCTGCGCTGCTCGACACCATACGTCGGCAGGAAGTTGACGCCGTGCTGAACAATCAGAATATCATATTGAGCACGGCTAGGGAGATCAAGTCGTTCGTGAATGAGGTTCACTCGAAGGCCGAGTCGATTCTCAACAATCAAGCGCGCGCTCCGACGGCACAGGTTTACATTGTTTATGTGTCCCAGGAATAACGGTATAATCCTGACTGTCGTTGACGGCATCCTTAATGTAAAATTGCATAGGTGCAGCCGATGGGATACGACTATCAGTCGCTCATATCTGAGATGCGGGACGGGCTAAACACGCTGAAAAGGGATATTCGACAGACCAACACAGGCAACGATTGTCCTACCACCAATTGTCTAACGACAACCATGTTTTTGCTGTTCGTTGGGATACAGATGATAATATTATTAGCGTATAGTCTCTATCGGTAATTATGCACGATTCAGTTAACGTTATCTTCTATAAAAAGAAAAGAAAAAAGGGATATTTGAAGACTCACGATTCTCATCTACAGGGACAATAAGGAAGCACAGATGAAGAAGCTCTACTAACATAATCATCGTCCGGTTCTACGTGGTGAACGTACAATACATTCTCTGTTTGTGGATTATGTCTTAATATTTTTATTACTCGTTAGTCGTACTCGCGAAGAATGCGTCCCGACATTTGTACAATAAATGCATCCTTCATCTGCCAGATCGATTTGAAATTATGTGGCATACGTCGAGTTCTGCCTCCGCGAGGATCACGAAAGCATTTCATGGTGGCGTAGTTGTCTCACTATTTGAACCGTTTAAACAAGAGAGATTTACGTATTATAACTATTGACTTCTGGCAGAGCGCGCGTATGAGATTTGGAGTAACGATTGAGTCGAAGTTACGAATTAGGTAATCGACGGTTCCCCCCGGAGCTGTCGAATGTTTCGCAATTTTTTTTTTTTTTTATGAGTCGTTATATACATATAATATATACATATATATTTTTTTACCGTCTATTGTCGCGCGCGAGCGTCTTTAGCGTTACGCACACACGTGTCCGTTTTCGTGGTTTTCCTTTATAGCGTTATTATATCATGATGATGATGATTATTGATTTTTTTCGTTGTGCTAGTAACGAAGCTTTCTCGGTGCAGATATTTGTACATTTTATATGAAGCATTTAGTACTTGAGTATACGGCGCTTACGATTACGTTGCCCGTAAGAATTGTCACTCGATTAACGTGATCAATCAATTATTCCATCAGAGGCTATTGTAGCGGAGAATATCGTGTGTCTAGATGGTATAATCACGCATACCAATTTCTATTGCCGTGTAAACTCGAACGGTGAACAATGACTGCGTCTTTGAAGCTACAGTAAGGACTCTGACTAAAACGTACGTGTATAAGATGTATGAGCAGTAGTGATAGTACTGGGAGGGGGGAGGGGGGGAGATGGTATGGGAGGATCTCTAAGTTCGTTATTCCCCACATCATTGCACATTTGTAAAAATCTATTGAATACTGTAAATGCATAATGATATATATCTGATAATAAAAATACAACGAGAAAAACGAAGAGGTGTTCTACGGACTTTTTCTTCGCGCATACACGTGTCGAATTTGATTTTATTTGCAATATTTATTTTATCATGAAACAAATTCGCCGACTGGACATTAAATTGCTGAAATTAATAAATCAAATCCAGAGATCTATTTGTTACATATATATATATATATATATATTGTTTTTTATAAAAAAAAAAGACAATAAGAGAAATGGAGATAGAGAAATTAGAATAAATTATATACCTCCCACCTCCCCTCTTTCCTTTATTTTTGTAGGCATATAACGACATATTCTGCATAGCATTCTAATATCGCACTATGAATATTGTTGAATAATTCAGTTTTTGGAGCACTTTTACTTTCAATGTGTCTGAAGAAAACATCGAGAAGGGAAAATATATCAGATACCCCTCTCCCCCCCCCCTTTCACCTATGAAATAATACTATCTCGTTTCTGACGACGATATTCAGTTTGACATATTACGTATTAGTGCGGACAAAAGGTAGAGACTTACTGGCACACCGATCGCGTAGCGCAAGAACTGAATCTCCATTTATCTCGTTAAATATAGTAGAAGAAAAGGCAGGTTCTCCATGTTGCCCGTACACGGCAGTGTTTACCGATGTGATGCAGCGGAAACCATTTCGGAGATATCGCTTCTAATCGGGCTGGCACGAGTTGATTGACACGCAAAAACGATCGCCAGTTCTTCGAGTCGGCATTCCTGCCAATCACTCGCGCGCGACACTTGCTTTCGACAGCAAAAAGACGCGACGAACACGGAACGTTCGCGCATTCGAGTCCGAACCGCCGAGAAGCGCCTGTTAACAGAAGTGACGTCACGATCACGTACTCTGCCATGATGGATTTTTGATCGATTCAGCAATTGTTTCGACAATCCCGATATAATAATTAGGATATGCACTGAAAAATTACCTCCTAATTACATCATATATTTTTGTATGTCAAACACTAGAATTTTCTTGAATGATTTGTGTGTTTTGGTTTGCGCGATTTTCCAGTAAATCTGACGCTTGAGCAGAAACGATCGCGTGCACATGCGCATAGTGTCGAGCGTTTCGCGTATCTCAATCGCGTTGATATTCTGTTGTCAGTGGAACAGATCCCCCGTGTCGCGTTTCGGATTCGGGAAGCCGTTATGAATTTCAGGAGATTTCGAAGGTAAGTCTCGCACCTGAATTATCCTCGCCGGACGTGAATATCGCGCGCCGTGGTAGCAGCGAAATATCGTTCGTCATAAATTGACAATGAGTGTTTCGCGAAATAATCTTTCAACAGTGCCGAGTGAGATGTCGCGCGTTCCCGTAATGGCGGTTGTAGTTCAAATTTTTGCTTTTAACGTTCTCGACCTCTCGAAGTTCGGTCTTGTGCCTAGCGTATCGGGAGTGAGCCGACAGTGAGATTCGCACGTTTGGTCTGGAAGACATTATGACATCATGAAGTAACTGTATATACGCGGCAAGCGGCCTCGTAGAAAGAGTTCATCGGCAGAGCCGAACAGGACATCGGTAAGGTTATGTTTTGAAGTCTACATCGCTATGTTCTACATTTTCCAGTCGTCGAGAGAAAAATTGGTAAGTGAGCGAAACAAAGGCTACCACAGCCACAACTTTTGCATGTTTACATATTTCATTCGCGGACTTCGAGTTCGAACGACCGATTTCTCCAGAATATTGGAGAAGGAGCATATTACTTCGAAGTTCGTTTCAGAGAACGCGAGGTATAAAATATGATAAACATTGTTGTTCTCTATAGGTCCGAAATACATATCGAACGTTTTTTTCTGTAATATGTAAAATGAAATCGCTATAGGCGCTCTGGAATCCATTGGTAATGGAAGGATAAAATCCAAATATCTCGACGATAGTTCGTCGGTACGAAACAGATATTACCGACAGAGGTGATATGCTCAAAGGTTGCAAGTGGCGAAAGTGAGTCTATAGGTAGAGCTCGGCGGATATTTAATGATGAAAACGTTGATTTAGCCGGCTGGATAACCCATGGGCTTTCCAAATATCTAAACAGAAAAAAAGAAAAAACGTCAATGTGATACTTTTTATTTCGAATATTTCTGATATTTCTGTTTAAAATGTAATTCGACTGGAAATATGGCTATTCACATAAACATGAATAAAGCCGTGAATACTGATGAATTTCCATGTAAACAAACGTCGTCTGTCGTGCGCTAATATAATGTTCCCCAGTCAACACAGAGCATCAGTTATGTTACATATAACAGACGTAATTGATGCTCGGTGTTGACTGGACTATTTCTACTATCATGATTTCAATTTAATCGACGACTAACTCAACGAAATTGACCAACTCTATTGAGCAGTTTCGCTAATTGTTCAATGCGATTGGTCAATTCCGCTGAGTTAATCGTCGATTAGATTTAAAGCGTGATGGTAGAAACGGACATACGTCGTGTTTTGTACCGTTCGACTTTGTAACGTTCGACTCGGGCTTGACTGAAAGTATCAACCGACGTTATCACATTCCGCCAGTATCGACGCCGCGTCGAATTATTCTTAATGCACATATAGAACAATATCTGATATGTCTGATATGATCTGATATTGATCACTTTACGTTACGGAATAACGAGATATATTACAGAATGCAAATTAATGTTATTCCCTCTTTTCAAAATCATACGTGACTGACGGAAGATTGATCGTTTCGCAGCGCACGTGTTTATGAATTATTTACATAAAGATTGATTATCAGCTGAGATCTACTCGTTCTTTCACACTTTCTTGATCGTAAATAAAGTTAAAAGAAAGACAGATCAAATAAATCGAGGCCCAGTTAGTTAAGTTCGTAATAATGTTTTTACGACGTCCCAAATGGAAGAATCTTTAAGTTCGCGTCTCCAATATTTCAATTCTAAGGTCGCCCACGAGTCTCGCTCAATACTTTCTACGGATCGGACATCTTTCTACGTCTTGTTCCTTCTTTTTGGTAAAATTTACGCAAATACGTTCAAGATGCATCGTCACGAGCAAACGTATCAGGCGTTCCCGTCGCGCTATCACTCCCATTTTCGCGGACGACCGCGTATATGGGGTGACTTTTTCGCGACCTGTGCGTGAATTAAAAGAGCACGCGACCGGAATTTTCGGCGAATAGTTCGGGAAAGCTCCATTATACGTACGTTCTGGCGACGCGACAAAAAGAACGTAACAAAAGTCGCTGTTTTTTACCCGGCGCATCCTCCGCGACGCCGAGCGTCCATATCTGTTCGTTTTCGCCCTGATAAAACGTTACAACCCTCTCGGGTGTGTCGGGACCAATAAGATCCTTGGCTCGGTGGCGCAGAATCCGCAAAATTCACCCTCGCGCGTCGCAACCGGATCCGATTGGTGGAAGCCGGCCTCCAATCGGCTCTCATCCGTTATTGATCTCGGCAGGGAATTGTTGAAAGTTTTTTATTGGCCGAGTTGTAAAGTGTTTTATGGACGGCATAAAACGGCCGGCCGCGTTATACGACGGACCGTGAGTTATTAAAATTGCCCGACACGCCTCGATGTGCCCGTGAATTAATGGATGCGACTTCTCGGGACGATCCTTAAGCCGAGATCGCCTCAATTACATCATCTTCGTGGTTGTTTCTACTTGGAGTCGCTGCCGAGAAAATGGCGCTTGCAAAGAGTGCGCTTGTCTTTCTCAGGATTCGAGTCGGACGATTCATTGCGCTCGTCAGTTAGTTCATTCCTCGAGACTAGTTATATTTCGAGTTATTCATGTTAAAATAACCTGCGTGAAAAATTTATTGAGATCTAAATGGGATCTAACCCAATTTTCCAAAGTTAAATTATAGATTCTGATTAGAAGTGTAATGTTTTAAACATATGATTCTAAGTAGGAAACGCAAACAAATTCTATTTGGTCACTCCAACGTTTTCTCGAAGATTTTTTCCGGTTTCCGTTTAAACTTTACACATAAAAACATGGGGTAAAATATAGTATAGCTCCAGTGATAATGGTTAGATATACATAAGCCAGCAATTTTAGTCTAACCCAATCTAACTTTTAACTTTTACCGGGGTTAGAATTAGAATTTTTCACACGTGCATAATATCTATAAATTTTTGCATCATGAATGTAAAGAATGATTATGGCAAAAAATAATGAGATTTCACATATTACTTCTTCCTTATTATATGATTTTCGGTATGTTGATGGTTTAGCATATTTTTTTAGCACAGCGCTGTTGCAATAATATTAAGGTTAAATCATGAAATAAATTTCAAATTAAATGCGCATGTGCTTAATATTACAATTCGTCACTAATGTTACATCACTGCATAGAATCTATTGCACTGATATCTCGTGTATCATGAGTGTAATCTAACCTAACATACGAGAACCATCATTATTTTAGGAAATCGGACAGGATCCCAATTATATCTCAAGATATTTTCTGTGCAAGGAACAGAAAATCCATGTTTTGGGTAAGAATGGAATTCTCGATTGATATCTCTGGATAATCTATTTTGGAACAACTTTGGGTATTCTAATCAGAATCTATGCTGTAAATGGGAAAATCTGGGAACATTTCTATGCGGAAACGTTTTTAACAAAGACATATGATTGCAAGATATTTTATTTGATTTTTCTAGACGATAAAACGCTTAGCTACAGTTTTAAATTTGAGATGATTTCGTATACGTTTCGGTTAATTGATAGAACATCGCCTCGATCGAAATGAAAAATCTCGCGTGTTATTTTTTCTCAAATATTATTATATGATGTTATTATTTATACTCGGTATCTTTTGTGGAACGAAATCGCTGATGTACATTCGTTGTAACTTCCTTACGAGGGTGCAAAATGTATGTTTGCGTACGATGATGGCTGCCATTGTAACGAAATGGATTTCCGAGATAAGGGTGGAAGGTGTAGCAGAAAGAGGTTTTCTCTTGAAATAACAGTTTACAGAAAAATTAACGGCACTTCACTATACAAACAATCCCGTCGCGACT